TAGGCTTCAGATCCTCAAAGTACCTGTCTGCTTCTCTCAGATTTAATTTTTCTTCCGTGAGGCTAATTGTGTCCCTTATTAGGGTAATTAGCCTATCAATTGACAAAGTCCAATGACCTGGAGGTATACTCAACTTCCTTCTCATAGTCATCTGAGACCTCGCACATATCAGGGTCTTCTTCAGAGGTCTTTTATATGGACCACATTTTTCCATGGTAGACTTAAAACCCTCAGTAATAGCTTGGGAAATCCAATGTTTAAGATCGTACTGTTGAGAACGTCTATGGGAAGTATCTGCGATTTCCATTAAGCATTCTCTGTAAAGGTTCTTTCCTTGAGGTGCAGGAGACGAACAATTCATGCATCTATTGGTTTTATCCCTTACTTGGTGGAGAATCCAATGCTTTGCTGGGGCTGAAAGGAACCATCTATGAACATATATTACAGGCTTATACTTTTAACACCCCTATGAATAAGATAAATATTATTGGCTCATCTCTGTTTTCTAGAGAGGGATCTTGCAGAGGCAGAGGAAGAATCCATACTATAAAAGGAGTTAATAGAGTAAGAGATCAGGAAAAGCCTATCATTGCCAAAACATATACTGAAACAAGAAGAAAGGAATGAGTAAATATCTTCTGATAAAAAAGAAAAACACCAAGCAGCCAGAAACTAAAATTTCATCAAAAAGGTCATAGCAGCATCTATATTATATCCAGGATAGAAATCCGGCTTGTAGGCACACAGCATATCAGCCCGCACTGAATTTCAATAGTGCTGGGTGTCACGAACGCACCCTACTCCAAGAGTGTGCGTGACGTAGTTGTGGTGGTGAAAGGGTTAAAGTACACTATTTGTCTGCACTAGACCGGAAATAATGACAAAATCCCCCTTTAACACCACCCACACTTAAACATAATAATATAACTATTACTACTTTAACGCTGCCACCACCAAGACAATTTATAAATGGGGTGCCTTGGTCCCCCAGGTAAATCAATAATAAACCCACCAAATATTACTTAGTACAATATTTAAGGAATTATAAAAATACTAACTAGTCTCTTCAGGTAACGTGATTCTTAACCAGACAAAGGCAAAACTTAATAAATGAATGTTTATTATGAGCAAAAGATAGTCACAGTGCATATAAAAATATATGATAAACAAATAATTTACACCAACAACAGATAAAAACAAAAAGGATAAAATACAGAAGTCCTAATTACTCACTTAGGTTTTCAAAGTACAACTTCTGTCCAGGGGGTCTCTGGCAAGGAAAGATGGTGACTCACTCAAAATTAGATCTTGGCCCCAAGCAAGTACACCAGCACCCTTCAGGATCATTAGATATATACCCTGTGGTTTATCAAGTCTTGCCCAGGGGTGGAGTTAAGGCGTACCTACAGAAAGAATAACTAACCACCTCCTTTGTTCCAGACCACTGTCAATCCAAACGGAAACATTTGACTCTATCTTCTTTTTTGTACCTGCCACAGAAATAATAATTGCATCTACAAATTTGTTATTATTTTCCCATTCCATAGACATGTTGCACGTCCCACCCACGATCCAATAGGACGGACATCACAATTCCTTTCCCTAGGGTCAAGTTAGGCCACTCATGTTTGGACTTGGTTAGAAGATGGCGCTTGTCACATTCCAAATATAACAAAAATGAGGCTTTATTATTATTCTGTGGGGTAAATATGAATGTTTTTGTCCTTCCTTTGGATATGATACTGGAACAAAGATAATGGCATTTACATATCAAAGAGATTGGCTCATCACTTACAAAGTACATGCCAAATGGATGAAGAGACATTCAGACTTTTCCAAGTGTAGAACCTCACACCTTGCAGACTTCACATCCATACAGTAAAATCCTTTTCACATTCCTATGCCATTCACACTACCCCTTCTGTCATCTGCCCTCTGTGGGGGTCCCAGCTTCAAAAGATGTAACCCCTGTTGACCTCAGCAATAGCATCTCTGTAATTTGTGCCATTTACTACAAGAAATCACATTAAAAGATGATATTCCATAGTGTCATAATAAATTATACACCCTTGCCGTGACACCTCCCCCAAATAAGAGACGCAATGGGAGAAGGCTCACATGCCTCTACCTTGTGTATCAACACTTGTTCCTTTTTTGCCTCCACCTCATATACTCATCTTTTTCAGAACTCTGGTTCTACATGAATGGGGTAACCCTCACGTGTTCACACACCTCCCCCAAAAAGGCTTGCCCTTTGTCCCTAAGCCATATCACAGCCATATCCACAACACGCATGCCTGATTTGCCTGTTTCCATCTCCCACTGCGCTCTGATCACATCTCTCAGGCCACACCCACTGCGCCCGTGTAGTAGCTCTAAGGGGAAGAAACCAACCGATTTCTGCAGTACTCCCCTGTAAGCACACACAAGATGAGACAGAGGACACTCCCAGGGTACCTGCACTGTATCCACACTCCTTATCTGTTTTATTTTGTGGTCTGTCTGCTGGGCTCGTTGCACCTTTTTACTCTGAACCTTTGGTTCAGAATCAAAAAGTTGCTTAGAGACAGACGCCTTCTCCTGAGCTGGCTTGGGTGTATGTTGGAGGTGTGATTGTGATATGCTGACAAGGATGGTGGTTCCCCCATCAGTATGTTCCCCTGCGGCCATTTTCCCTGGACCCACAGGTTGAGACTGTCCATGCCCCTCACTTTGGGCAGATCGTGGACGGGTCCCCCTATCTACTGATGGAACCTCTGTCTCTCCCTCACCTCCACTCCATGTCCTCACACACACAGCACCTTGGGAACTGGCTGAGTCTTGTGCAAAGTAAGGCTCACACACACTCTGCCCTCCCTCAAAGCCATGCTCTCCCTCCACACTTTCACACAGCCCAGCCAATACATTGGCGTCAGGCAGATTTTGGCACACATATTCATTCAACCCTCTCTCCCTAGAATTCTCTTCCTGCACATTGTCACATAACACCTTTTGCACCCCTTGGTCAGGCACTGGATGTGAAACACACTCACGTAATTTCCTCTCCCAGCCAGGCCATCCTTCCATAATCTCACATAGCCACTCACTTTGTCCTTGTTCTGGCACCTGACATACTCCTGACTGAGATACAGGTGAACACATCAACTCATCCTGCCCTGGTTCCCAATGATTTGATCCACTTGTGTTTTCACCTGGCATCTTAAACAACCCTGGCACTGACACAGATAGGCACACACGCTCATCCAGCCCCGCCTCGCTGTGCAGCTGTTTTTGCCCACTCACACATGGTATTACAGGCACCCCTAGTGCTTGCCCTCGCTCCCAGCACAATTGCCGGCATACACCTTCGCTTGTTTCCACAGACACCCCTGGTTCAGGCACAGATTGATACACATTCTGCCCTCCCTCCCAGTGAAGTTGTCCTGGCAAACTTTCACCTTGTACCACAGACAACTCTGGTTTTGGCACAGCCTGGCACACATGCTCATTCTGCCCTCCTTCCCAGCAACTTTGTCTTGGCACATTCTCACATGATATTGCAGACACTTCTGGTTCAGGCACAGACCAGCACACATGCTCAGTCTGCCCTCCCTCCCAGCACAATTGTCTGCATACATTTTCACAAGTTTCCACGGACACCCCTGGTTCTGGCACAGATTGACACACATTCTGCCCTCCCTCCCAGCGAAGTTGCCCTGGCAAACTTTCACCTGATACCACAGACAATTCTGGTTTTGGCCCAGCCTGGCATGCATGCTCATTCTGCCCTCCCTCCCAGCAACTTTGTCTTGGCACACTCTCACATGATATTGCAGACACCTCTGGTTCAGGCACAGACCCGCACACATGCTTATTCTGCCCTCCCTCCCAGCACAATTGTCTGCATACATTTTCACATACTGCCCTCTGCACAGTAGGGCCCCTATGAGGCTTGGGTTTATAACATACATTACTTTCTGGCACATACTGTGATAACAATCTACCTAAGTCAGTACCAAGTAATACATTTGCAGGGATATTCTCATCTACCCCCACATTTCTGAAACCCTTCCCCGCTCCCCAATCCAAATAAACTCGTGCCATTGGCACTACAAGTCGTACCCCCCCCAATTCCTTTAACTGCTAGAGTCCTGCCAGGAATTAAGTCCTCAGAGCACACTAGCTCTGGACGCACAAGAGTCACATCTGCCCCAGTGTCCCTGAGTCCCACAGTTACCTCTCTTCCAACTGTCACAGGCTGCAGATTCACATTGTTGCTGCCTTCTGATCTGGTTACAAACAACACAGAGGACGTTGGTTCTGAGGAGCGTCCCTCCCCAGCTGATGATGCTGGCTGCCGTTTCCCAGGGCAAGCAACACTAATGTGCCCAACTTGGTTGCAAATAAAACATCTGCGACTATCTCCTTGCGCAGACATGGCACTAGCTCCCCCTCTCCCTGAGGTAGGAGCTGAAACAAAAGATGGCCCGCTAGGCCTGGCGATGGGGAGTCGTGGTGGTGTGGTCCTCCAGCTGGATGTTCCCTTGGCAAAACCTCTGCTCCGGTCCACTGTTGCTCGATTGGCAGTGTGGAAATCTGCCAGCTCACCCGCCTCCAATGCCGTTTTGGGGTTCCTGTCCAGCAACCATTCCTGTACATCGGCTGGGCAGAGCTGCAAAAACTGTTCTTTATTAACAGGTCTTGCAAACTTTCCAAAGTGGTAATCTCCAGCCCTGTAGTCCACTGTCGGAATGCTGTCGCCAGGTGCCCCACAACTGCTGCATAACTTTCTGTGGGATGCTTTTGCAAAGTCCTGAATTTCTTTCGGTACACCTCAGGAGTAAGGTTGTACCGTTTTTGCAAGGCAGCCTTAATCGCATCATAGTCCTGGTCAAACTCTGCTGGAAGCGCAGCAAATGCTTCCAGTGCAGGACCTCTGAGACCAGGGGTGAGGTATTTTGCCCACTGGTCCTTTGGTAGCTGGTACTGCCTGCAAACCTTTTCAAAACTGCACAGGAAAACATCCAAATCACCATCCTTGTCCAAAGTTGGAAAGTTCTCTGCACGTGGTTTGGGTGCAGAAGAGTCTCTGGAATTAATACTTAAAGGGGAGGCAGTCAACCTCTCCAACTCAGCCATTTTTAGCTCATGCTCTCTGGCAGCTTGGCGCTCCGCAGCCTCTCTTTCAGCCTCCTGATATTTAAGGATAAGCTGCAGTTTTTGGTTTGTATCTGCTGAGTCCACATATTTCAACACAGTTTGCAAGTAACAATCCAAAGGATCACCAGATCTCGGTACATCATTGACCAAAGCTGCAGGTATCTCCTCTGCAGTGTTTCAGGCATCATTTTGCACTGCTTGTTGCATATCATAGTCCACCAGTGCTTGCAATAGTTCCTCTTTTGTTTTTCCCCGACAGGGAATAGATCTCTCCCGGCAAAGCTGGTCTAGCGCTGCCTTGGATTGTGCCTGGTACTCCATTTGGTAAATAAAAGATAGGAAAGAAAAAACAGAGAAGGGGGGGACTGTTAAGGTGTAAATATATTATATATGCACTGAGTTCAGCCTTTGGAAATTGAGACACAATTTCTTTTAGTGCCTGGATTAACCAACAAATCCAGCAACACTAAAATCTGGTACAAAAAGATGAAAAATCTTTTTAGTTATCCCACCGCTATGCCACCAATTTGTCACGAACGCACCCTACTCCAAGAGTGTGCGTGACGTAGTTGTGGTGGTGAAAGGGTTAAAGTACACTATTTGTCTGCACTAGACCGGAAATAATGACAAAATCTCCCTTTAACACCACCCACACTTAAACATAATAATATAACTATTACTACTTTAACGCTGCCACCACCAAGACAATTTATAAATGGGGTGCCTTGGTCCCCCAGGTAAATCAATAATAAAACCCACCAAATATTACTTAGTACAATATTTAAGGAATTATAAAAATACTAACTAGTCTCTTCAGGTAACGTGATTCTTAACCAGACAAAGGCAAAACTTAATAAATGAATGTTTATTATGAGCAAAAGATAGTCACAGTGCATATAAAAATATATGATAAACAAATAATTTACACCAACAACAGATAAAAACAAAAAGGATAAAATACAGAAGTCCTAATTACTCACTTAGGTTTTCAAAGTACAACTTCTGTCCAGGGGGTCTCTGGCAAGGAAAGATGGTGACTCACCCAAAATTAGATCTTGGCCCCAAGCAAGTACACCAACACCCTTCAGGATCATTAGATATATACCCTGTGGTTTATCAAGTCTTGCCCAGGGGTGGAGTTAAGGCGTACCTACAGAAATAATAACTGACCACCTCCTTTGTTCCAGACCACTGTCAATCCAAATGGAAACATTTGACTCTATCTTCTTTTTTGTACCTGCCACAGAAATAATAATTGCATCTACAAATTTGTTATTATTTTCCCATTCCATAGACATGTTGCACGTCCCACCCACGATCCAATAGGACGGACATCACAATTCCTTTCCCTAGGGTCAAGTTAGGCCACTCATGTTTGGACTTGGTTAGAAGATGGCGCTTGTCACATTCCAAATATAACAAAAATGAGGCTTAATTATTATTCTGTGGGGGTAAATATGAATGTTTTTGTCCTTCCTTTGGATATGATACTAGAACAAAGCTAATGGCATTTACATATCAAAGAGATTTACTCAGCACTTACAAGGTACAGGCCAAATGGATGAAGAGACATTCAGACTTTTTCCAAGTGTAGAACCTCACACCTTGCAGACTTCACATCCATACAGTAAAATCCTTTTCACATTCCTATGCCATTCACACTACCCCTTCTGACATCTGCCCTCTGTGGGGGTCCCAGCTTCAAAAGATGTAACCCCTGTTGACCTCAGCAATAGCATCTCTGTAATTTGTGCCATTTACTACAAGAAATCACATTAAAAGATGATATTCCATAGTGTCATAATAAATTATACACCCTTGCCGTGACACTGGGCATGTAACAGTGCCGCGCATGTGCATTCGATGGAACGCTGGCCATGCGCTCCAAGCTGATCACATCTTGTCCCGGCGGCTAATCTCGTCACTTCCAATTACGTGGAAGAGGATGCGATAGCCGTGGACAAAACATGTCACGTCCGCTTGCTGGAACCCACAACGGCATTCTACCACCCAAAAGAGGTTAATTCTGACGGAACACAAGGTAGAAATTAACTTGTACAAAAACACAAGCTGAAAAACCTATGCTTATTTGATTTCTGTCTAGAAAGCAATACAACAAAAAATATATCCCAAGAAAGTTCCCTCCAAAGGAGGACCCCATAACATATATGGTTCTTGAAAACAACTGCCTCATGTGGGGGACATCATCTGTAGGGGGGATTTTTAAGGATGTCCAACCCCATAAAAATACCTTAATGATGTGTCTCCCTCAGAACAACATCTTATCCCATGTAGCAGTTCAGTACTTACACTGTACTTAACCCAGTTAGTCCTAGGCAGTTCCCCAAAAACTGAACCTCATGTTGATCAAATACGCATTTCTCAATTTTACAATAAAGACCATTTTTAAGCAAAGTTTATAAAACTTGTTTGACATGATCATGATGAGTTTGGATGTCAGGGTAATAAGTAAGTATATCATGCAGGTATACCAGCACAAAAGAGTAAATATAGTCTCTGAGTACATCATTAATGAAGCCTTGAAATACGGCCTGAGCATTACATAATGCAAAGGGCATACCAAGATATTTGTAGTGTCCACTCCTAGTGTTAAACACCGTCTTCCATTCATGATCCTCCCTAATTCTCACCAAATTGTACACACTCCTAAGGTCAAGCTTAGTGAAGACAATTTGGATATAAGGGCATTTTTGAAAGTAATCATGTTTAATGCCCTGTAGTCTATGAGAGGTCTATGAGAGGTGGTAATTCTCCATCTTTCTTAGCTACAAAAAAGAACCTTGCACCAGCAGGTGAAGATGATTTACGTATATGGCCTTTACTTAAAGATTCCTTGATGTACTCATCCATGATTTTACTTTCTTGTGGGGATAGGGCATATAGGAGGCATAGCCCCGGGCAACAGATCAATGGAGGAATGGAGGAAGAGCATTAGTCTGACTTTTACTAAACACCTTTCTAACCTCCCAATACTGTATGGGAATTTCGTGAGTGGGAGACATAGCAGTGGGTAAAGCAACGATGCCCACCTTTTTAGAAGTGGGTAAAATGCAGCTTTCCTGACAGTCTCTACCCCATTCCAGTAATTCCCCTCTAGTCCAGTCAATATGAAGGTTATGCTTGATGAGCCAAGTAAACCCTAATTCGATGGGACAAGAAGGGGAAGCGATAATCTGGAAAGTAATGTCTTGTTTCTGCAAAGCTCCTATCGTAATGCAAATAGGCAAGGTCTTATGGGTAATAAGAGGTTGAGTTAGGGGTTTCCCATCAACAGCCTCAACAGCTAGTGGTGATGATCTCTCCTTGACTAGTATAGTGTGTTTTTTAACAAAATACAAATCAATAAAGTTACCAGCTGCACCTGAGTCAACCAGGGCTTTGCATGAAAAGTTATCCTTGTTGCAAAAGGAGAAATCTGCTTCGGGAATTACTAGAGAACGTATCCATTACACCTAAGACCTGTCCCCTTAAGGTTCTTAGGTGTGGACGTTTTCCAGATGTATAGGACAAGCATCTCTCATATGCCCTTTCTTGCCACAATATAAGCACAGACCCTCTCTTCTCCTATACTGTTTCTCTGCCTCAGACAGTCCTGTAACTTCATAGGTTCGGGTTCAAACAGCTTTGAGAGGTCAGGGACAACAAGTTTGGAGAATCAAGGTGCTAGTGACATAGTCCAGTTCTGTTTCTAGTAATTTCCC